TCCTGCCAGTGGTGTGTGGTTAAGTGCAAATATGGACATGTGGAGAAGGAGAACCAGAGACAAAGCTCTGAGCAAAATTGCAGAAGGGCTGGTGTCTTCTCTCTCTCATCATTAAAAATAAAAGAGTCTCCTTCGGCTTCTGTTGTCATTTCCTATAACATCTCCTGACTGTGCCTGCAGCAGGAGCGGAACCCACCCAGCAGCAGCTCTGCCTGGTGGTGTGCACTGCCATGGGGCTGTGGGTGCTGCAGTGCCAGCAGTGGGTGCTGCAGTGCCAGTGATGGAGGGAACCCCACGCTCTATGTCAGGGCTGTGCTCGCTGCTGCAGTGTGTGTGATGGGAGCAGTGCTTGGGCTGTTCCCTCCCAGCCCTCATGCCTGCTCCCACAACTGCCCTTCTCTCCCACCCCAGAGCCTTTTCCCACCCATTACCCTTTGTCTTCCCCAGGGCGCTGGAGGAAGGCTCCATCCAGGCTTGGGCATCAGGGCAGCCGGCCCTGGGTGTCCTTAGGCAATCCCTGTGTGAAGGCAAAGAACACATGGTAAAAGGAGGGATGATTGTGGGTGGCTGTGCTGGAGGGCACATGTGTCATATGGGCACACGTCCCTGTAGGGCCACACACCTTGTGCACCAGGCACACAGAACCCTTCATCCCCCACACGCTGTGTCCCCCATGGTGCGGGTGGGAACTGGCACTGAAACTCAGCTCTTAAATCGTTAACCCTTGATGCAATTAAGCATCGGCCAACAGAGCTCCATGGCAGTGAAGCAGCAGGACATTGCCATATGGCTGCTGGTCCCACTGTGACAGTGTGCCGGGCTCCTCAGCCCTGCCAGTATCACCTCCCAGCCCTGGGGACACCCTGACAGCTATGGGACACAGACAGGGACATCAGTCCCATGGAGGGGACATCACCCCAAGCTGGCTGTCCCCATGTGCCCTGGGGGGATAGCAGTCACAGAGGTCCCCCTGGTGCGGGTTAGCCTGGTTTCCTAAACAGAAGAAATGAATTCCAGGTGCTGCCAGCATCACTGTCTGGGGAGCAGGGGGTCACTGCCCTGCTGCCATGCAGCTTCTATCCAGGAAGGACCCCCTGCCCCATCGCGTGTGTATGCTCTGTTTTGAATTGTTTCAAGCAGCTATTGCGTAGGGAATGTGTGTGGTTAAGATAGGGCATGCTATCTTCATCTCCCTATCAGGCAATATCCATACCCATAATCATAGATGTGTCACTTGCAGAGGAAGCGCACGGTGCCAAGCAGCTGGGATTACAGGGAAGGGCTCTGATAAGGGGAAAACAAACACTTCTGCAGAAAGCACTGTGTCAGTCTCCTTCAGCCAGCAGTGAAAGGTGACCCCAGCACTCGAGGTGTCAGCAGGGGTTCTTTGGGGCTGGGTTATCAGTGCTGCAGGAGGGATGAGGTGGGACAGAGTCAAGTGGGACAGGGATAGGAAAATCTTTAAAAGATCTGAGCCCATTTCTTCCTCTAAGAGGATACAACAAAGGCTGAACAGACTGTACATGGACAGTGTGGTTCTCTAAAATCTTAGAGCAGTGCAGGACTGGCCCTGAGGACAAGGGCAGAGCAGCAGTTCTGCACCGGATCGAGCAGGGCTCAGCAGCACGGTGATGGCTCTGTGAGCTGCCCCCAGAGCCTTGCTGTGCTGCCCTCATTAAGGGCACTCACGTCCCATGAGCAGCCCCTCCCAGTGCCCAAGAGAGGCTGTTTGCAGAGATGTGAATGCAGCCACCTTGAGCTCCATGAGATCAAAACTCCATCTTTGGTGCACATTTAATGCAAGAAATCTTGTCACCTCCTGCCGTATTCCCAAGAGTGAGGATGCTATTTCTCTCCTCCCTGGAGCTGTTGTGATTCCTGGGAAATGAGCCTGATTTCAGGTTAGATATTAGTAAACATTTCTTCTCCAAAAGAGTGGTGATGCAGTGATACAGCTGCCCAGGGAGGTGGTGAGGTCGCCATCCCTGGAGATGTTCAAGAAATGTGGGGATGTGGCACTGAGGGACGTAGTCAGTGGGCATGGTGGGGTGGGATGGGGTTGGACTTGATGATCTCAGTCTTTTGCAACCTTAATCATAAAATCACAGAATCATGAACTATTTGGGTAGAAAGGGGCCTTCCAGCCCATTGCATTCCAACTTCGCCTATGGATTGGCTGCCCCCATCAGAACAGGCTGCTCAGGGTCCCACCCAGCCTGGTCTTGGGCACCTCCAGGGATGGGGCACCCAACCTTCTCTGGGCAGCACTGCCAAGGCCTCTGAGTAAAGAATTTCTTCCTAACATCTGACATGAATTTCCCCTGTTTTAGTTTAAGTATCCCTATGATTTTATGATTCAGGATACCTGAGCCCTCCTGCTCCCAACTGCCTCTTCTGCACCCCCTTCCTGTGCCCACCGACTCACCCGGTAGTGAGGGATGAGCCCTCCACAAAAAAACCTCTGTGATTGTCCCAAGCTGGCTCAGCCCTCAGGAGAAGAAGGGAAAGTCGTGGAGAAAGCAATGCCTTTACCTGCAGCAGCGTGGGGCAGCAGTCCTGCAGCAGCAGCAGAGGCAGTGCTCCCCTCCTACCTGCCCTGGGCTTTTGTTCCGGTGATTCAGTCTGAAGGTCGAAAGAGAAGTCAAAAGGAGTGGCCTGTGGTAGGAGTAAATGAGTGGCCTGTGGTAGGAGTAAATGATTAGCAAGGGACGGAAAGAGGTGGGTGGGAGAGGAAAATCTCTCAGTGGGGCAACCAGAGGACAGCTTGGCTCCAGAAAAGAGCAGAGGGTGAGAGCAGGAGTCACTGCTGCTCACCAGGGCACACAGCTCCCGATCCAAAATGCAGGGCAGTCTGCAGGTCTGAGGCACAAGTGTGTGCTCGGCTGTGGGCTCCTAACTACAGGAAAGACAATGAGACCCTGGAACCTGTTCAGAAAAGGGCAGGGAAGCTGAGGAAGGTCTGGAGCACATCAGGGTCTTATGGGGAGTGGAGGCTGAGGGAACTGGGATGGTTCGGTTTGGAGGAGGCTGAGGGGAGACCTTATTGCTGTCTGCAACTCCCTGAAAGGAGGTTGTGGCGAGGTGGGGGTCAGCCTCTGCTCCCAGGGCTTCAAAGACACAGAGCAATAAGGAAACCTGTTCCCCCCTGGTGCAGATAAGGCCTTTGTGCCATTCATTTTTGGAATGAGAAGGTCTGGAGGATGCTGCAGCACATGACCAGAAGCTACATATCTGCAGTCAGAAGCCATGGAGATCATCCTTTTCCATCCTTTTCTTCCATTTCTGCTACTATTCTAGGCTTTGTTTTGCTCAGCCCGTTGCATCTCTTGCTGAAAGGCTGCACATCCCCAGCAGAGCCGAATCCATGTGCTGTCACTACTGCTAGCACAGCACTGAGATGTGTGCTGGGCAGGTGGGGGCTGCCTGCACCACAGTACCACCACAGGGGCTCCACCACGGCCACAGCCATGCTGAGAGGACAGAGCCTGGGCTCGCTCTGTGAGCTGCTCATGCATTACCCGACAGAAGCACAGAGGGAAGCGCTTGAGCAGAACTGACAGCAAGACGAAGCCCAGGGGGGCTCCCAGAATAATACAGCACTTCCCGCAGCTTACGTCAGCCTGTGCCCCTAACAGCAGCCCTTTGGCCCCTAACAAATACAAAACAAAGGGCTGTGTTGGCCCATTGAACATCCAAGGACAGAGCACAGTGCGATCCCAATGGGGAATGCAGTGAGAGAAGGGCCCCGGAGCTGCAGGGTGCAAAGCAGATGTGAAGCACAGCGGTGATGCGGCAGCACCCAGCCCTCCTGCCAAGGCTGTCCCAGTGCTGGGCACAACCCATGGGAAGGGAGTTGAGCTCAGCTAAAGCCAGGGCTCCTCCAAGTCCCATATTTCGGTTTGTTCCCCCTTCTCTACCTTTGGTTGTAAGGGATTTGGGGACTGGCCCCCTCCCCTTTCCCTTCCAACACCCACAAACCTGGTGCCCAACCCTGCCCCTGCCCAGCCCAACGAAGCAGGCCAGCTCCTCGGATATGTTTTCTCTTTATTGTTTGATATATTTATGTACCACATTATATGTTAAAGATAGACTTTTTTTTTTTTCTGATATACATTTTTCATCTTATTTACCACAATGACACCACACATACATTGGAAACAGCTCCACGGATCTGGTAGATTGCACAGAATGAGTTTTGTCTTGGTTTTGTTCCTGCATCCTGAACGACGTCAAATCCAACAATATATATTTTTCTCTTTTCATTATTCAGAAATAATTCTTAAAATGAAACAAACAAACAACAACAACCAAAAAAATAAAATAAAATCACTGAGAAGTGGACTCCAGGTCTGTGAGTTGAACCAGAGGCAAAATGCAATCAATGGGAAGCGCCATTCCTCGTGTCAATCCGGGTGGAAGAATTAAGCAGTCTGACATCGATGTGACTACAGTGTAAACATTGCAGATGACTGCAGCGCTGGCCGTCGGCCGGAGCGTGGGTTGCTGGGCTATTCCTACAGTCTAGGTCTCATCTACGTCTGTCTCGTGGTGTATGTAAAGGAATGTTGCTGCTCCCAGCACCCGCAGCCTGTCTGCTTCCATCTGTAAACACAACCCCATCGGGTCGGCAGCTCCTGCGGCACTGCAGTGCAGATCTGCAGGCAGTGCTGGGAGCTGTTATCCTTTCCCGATGGTTCATTCGTGGGGCTGAGCTTCAGGCAACTGGTGAGGAGGTCGGGGTGGGGCACCGTGGATTTTCCTTCCAAATATTTGAAAGAACAGAAAAATAAATATATATATATTTTTAATCTTAGCTTATTTAAAAAGACGGCAGGGCACGCGTTTTCATCTCTTCTGATTTCATTTAATTTGCAGATTCTATAATGTAGGATTTGTTGGATGTAACGAAAGTAATGACTCCTCCTTGAAGGGACGCAGAATCTCACGGCTATGCGGATGTTCGATGCTATTCTCCTACTGCCACCAGCTCTGGCCCCTCCTTAGTCTTCAGCATTGGTTCTAAATGCCTCTATGAGGCCTTCTAAAGAGTGGATGAACCCGGAGACACTGCAGATCCCTCCTATAACGAAAATGGCGACGTCAAAGAAGACGTGGTGCCACAAGAGCTTCCTCCACAAGAGCTTGAGGTGGAAAAGACTGGGGAGCAGGAAGCAGAGACCCGCACCCGTGAGGCTCCCAGTGAGACCCATCAAGAGGGCAAAGTGCGGGACGTAGATAGCCATGAGCAGGGTGAACACCACCAGGGCACACCTGAGAGTGAGCCCCCAGGACTTGAGCCGCCCGTCACCTCCGTAGCAGTTGGGGAAGAATGCCCTGTTTCCATCCTGGAAAAGGGATCGCTCCAGGACCTCCACAGCTGCAAAAAACGGCAAGGGGTAGGAGAGCAAGGCTTTGGCCACCAAGAAAATGTTGACTACTGCCCTAATGGTGGATGGCAAGTTGTCTGTGATGACCTCCTTGGTCTCGTCAGCCCAGGTCAGATAGGCGACCAAGGCAAAGAGTCCTTTAAGGATGCAAGCTGCTATGTGCGTCCAGTTCATCATGCAATGGAACTCCTTGGGATTCTGCATGTTCCCCTCCAGGGAAGGCAGAAAGATCTGGGAGGTGTAGCTGAAGACAATGATGCCAATGGAGATGGGAAACTTCTTCACATCTATGTAGAACTTGACCTTGTCCCACGCCCAGTCGCGTGCCCGGGAGAGGCAGTAGGCAATCACCAAGATGTTGATCACAAAGTGGGCCAACGTGCAGAGCAAGCTGAACTTGGAGACTGCCTTCAGGTTCTTCAAGAACGCGCAAGGCAGGAGAACGGCTGTGGCAATAATGGACCACGACTTCTGGGATACGGGCAGGTTAGGGAAGCTGTTGTACATCAGGTTCCCACTGACCACCACGTAGAGGATGCAGGTCATGACCAGTTCAATGATCTGAGCCACATTCACAATTCTGCCCCCCAGCGTGGGGAAGCGAGGCGCGCAGCACGCGTTTGCTATGTCCACGTAGGAGTCTCTCACCCTGACTATCTCCCCATCCTCATTCTCTTCGTAAAGACAGGCAATAAGGATTTTTCCAGTGTAGCAGCAAACCACCGCAGCGAAAATTATTAAAAAGAGTCCTAGGTATCCACCATGAAGGATAGCATAGGGCAGGCCCAGCACAAACATCCCCTAGAAAGAGACAAAATGGAAACCGTGTTGCTCTCCTGATGGAGGGGCCAGGCAGTGAGCAGGCGCACACCCGCTGCCTCAGCCACATGCAGTGACACCAATGGCACAGCCCACAGCCCCACAGTCACACCGTGTGCTCATGATGACACGCACACCCTTCTCTCTCCGACGTGCCGCCCACTCCGTCACACCTATCACACCTATCACACCTATCACACCTATCACACCCATCACACCTATCACACCTATCACATCCATCACACCTATCACACCCATCACACCCATCACACCTATCACACCCATCACACCCATGCACACCCACAGCATCCGCCCCAGAGCACCCACAGCAAGCAAGCACCAGCTTTTACCCAAATCTCCACCCTGTGTGTTCGCAGCAACCTCCGTGCACCAAGAACCCATCACGCTGCAGTGCCATCCTATCACGGGGGGGACCAGCACAGACCCCCCACAGCACACCCCCCTCCTCAGCCCCCCCATCCCGCATTCTGCCGTGGGGGCCGGCAGAGCAAAGCGATACAGACATTTTGTTTTGAATTTGGGGAAGGGAGATTATTGTTTCCTTTTTTTTTTTTTTCCCCCCTTTCTCCCATTTTTCTTTTTTTCCCTATTCCCCCGCTTTCTCTTCTTCTTCTATTTTTTTTTTTCTCCTTTCTTTTTTCCATTCTTTTTCTGCCGAAGGGTGTTGCACCCCGTCACTGCTGAAGGGGACGAGGGCTGAGCCCGGGGATGGGAACGGAGCTGGGATCGGGGCTCGCGTCCCGGCGCGGGTGGCAGCGGGTGCCCGGCCGTACCTGGATGGCGTTGGTGACGTTCCAGCCCGCCTCCCACGCCGTGATCTTGGGCTTGCCCTGCCCGGACAGCTCGGAACAGACCCCCGCGTCCTTGGAGGCGGAGGGCGGCAGCGGCCCGGTGCCGTCCCGCTGGTAATGGATGTCCCCCTCCAGGGGCTGCTCGCCGCCCTCCTCACCGCCTTCGGACTTGAGGATGTCCATCTGCAGCCCCTGCCGGTGCTCCATGTCCAGGTCGTCGCAGTGAGCGAAGCCCACCGCCTCCTCGTCGGTGGCCGCCTGGAAGCCCATCCTGGCGAACATACCGCTCATCTTCGCCTGGGACTTGTTGGACACCGAGGTGGCCACGTTGGACAGCTTGCTGCGGAGGAGCGTGGCCATGGCGGCTGTCGGGCTCGGAGGGCCGTGGAGACGCAGAGACCCGACGGGGCGGGCGGGCGGCGAGGCGGAGGCCGAGACCTGGGCGCCGGGAGAAGGGCAACGGCGGCGGCGGCTGCGGGAAGCTCTGCCGAGCCGCTACCTCCGCTCCCGAGCGCAGGGCGAACGGCTGCGCTGCGGGCTGCCCTGGGGCATGCCACCGCTGCGGGAAGCCGCGGGCCCTCCCGCCCCGCTCCGCGCCGCTCCGCTCCTTTCCGCCGGTCCCTCCCGGACGGCGGCTGTCGCCGAGCTGCGGTGGTCACAGGTCTGCGGCTGTCAGCAACCGACGGCTGTCAGCGGGCGGCCGGCGCAAACCCCTGGCGGAGAGAGCCGCGTCTCCATCGCAGTGCGCCCACCTCGCGGAGAGAAAAGAGGGGAGAGGATTGCTGCATTTCTGGGGGAGGTACCAGCGGCCCCGGCCAAGCCCAGCCTCCCCCCCCCCCGGCACGGTGACACCCACGCCCGCCGGGTCCCGCCAGCAGCGCCGCAGCGCGGCTCCCCCCGGCCCCGCAGCCCCCCGCAGCCCCCTGCAGCCCTCCGCAACCCCTGACCCGCAGCCCAGCAGCCCCGCTCCTAGCCCCTTCCCCCCGCGAACCGAGCAGCAGAGGGAATACGGCCCCACTGAAGGTGCGGACAGACGGCTCTCGACAGATTCTCAACGAATTTCGCCTCCTCGCAGCCCCTCCCTTGTCTTTTTTCCACCCAAAACCCCTCGCACCCCCATCGGAGCCCTGAGGCACCGGGAGAAGCACCGCTTCGGGAACGCAGCGGCAGCACCGACGGCTGCGGTCCCGCTCTGCTCCGCTCCGCGCCCGGGCTTCGCTCTGCCCCGCACCGCTCCGCGGGCGGCACCGGGGCGTTCCTCGGGCTCCGCTCCGTCTCGCGGAGCCATTTCCCATTTTTCCTCATAAAAATTAATTTTTCCGTTCTGCTCCCCTGAACACACATACTTATATTGAACAGAAAAGCCCTCCGCGAGTTTTCTTTGTTAAATTGTCCCCGAGGTGCGCAGCCCGCACTGCACATATCGGCCACGGGAGATCCGGGGAGGCGCGGGGGGAGCGACGGCATTTGGGGTTCGGGGCGATGGGAAACAGCAGCGCTGCGGCACTGCGTGGGGATCGCTGAGGTTTTGTGGATCGGGAGAAGAAAAAATAAATAAATAAATAAACAAACAAATAAATAGACGTTCCCGAAGTGGAGGTGGGGGGAGCGCCTGTTTGGTTCGCTGCTTTTCGGAGGTTACAACGAGCATTTTTGTTTTACTACAGACAACGGAAAACACAACGCTGAATGATTTCCTGATGCCGTTCTTTGGAATGGGAAGGAAGGGGCAGAGGGGAGGGCTGCGGTTGGGGTGCGGCACGGAGCGGAGCTTCCAGAAAACGCCTCAAATACCGCCGCCCCCGACCCCCCCTTATTTATTTTATTTTATTTATTTATTTATTTATTTATTTATTTATTTATTTTCCTTCTGACGGAAGCAGGAGGGGAATTAGGTGCAAAGCGGGTGAAATGCGTCAAAAAGAGCCGTCGTCGCAGAGGGGCTGCGCCTCACGGGGGTCTTTCGGTCGCCGTTACCCTCCGGGCCAGACCCCAATGGGAATCGCGCTGCGCCGGGGCGGGGATTAACACAAATCAGTGCACAAATAGGTCGAGAAACAAAGAAAAAAAAACAACAAAAAAACAGGAAAAGCCGAACCATCAGACTGTGCAGATGAACACCTCGGCGTTCATGCGGAGATTTTTAGAACATTTTCGTTATTATTGTTATGATTTCTCACGTAACCTGCGATGAGTTTATCGCAAAAGACGCGAAGGAGATCGATGTTCGGGAGCCGCAGAGGGCGTCAGGGACGAAACAACGAAAATTCGCCCAACTCGCGGCGTGCTGCGGGGACATCGGGGCATTTCCCCCCTCCTCCCCACCTCTCGCCCCGCAGAGCCCCGGCCCTGCACCGCTGAGGCCCCGCACGGTGCGTCGGGCTCGGGAAACCTATTTAGAAACATCATTAAAACAATGACGATCATCATCATGATTAAAAACACCGAAAAACGTCCACGGAGCCTGAAAATGACCCCGGTCCGGTGGGGGACAAACGTGTCCCAAGGCAGCGCTGGCCCGGGGGCTGGCTTCTAGGCGGGGGCGAGGGGCTTTGTGCCGCTGTTGGATACAGCGGTACCCCCACAAACGCCTCACAGCCCCGGCGTACACGTGCCGAGACACGGAGATAAACGGGGGGGTGAGGGGTGCCGGCGGGCTCAACGCTGCGGGCACAGGAGGGATGCGGGCCGCCGGGGCTCTTCTTCGACTCCGAAATTCCCCCCCGCTTCTGGGGCATCGCTGAGCCCCCCCTCCACACACACACACACCCTCCCCCCGCCCCGTGGGGACCGCAGCCAGGGCAGCCCCGATCGCTGCCTCGCGTCCGAAGGTGGGAGAAGGAGATTTTGTTCGGCTGCTGCTGGAAATAAAAAATCGCCCCGAACTTCTGCCGGCGGCTGAAAATAGGGATAGAACGCAGCGAAAGGAGGGGAAATAAAAAGAGAAAAAGGAAGGAAAAGGAGGAGAGAGGCAGAGGAAGAGAAGAAAAGGAGAGGTACGGAGAGATGGAGAGGAGGCATTTACCTCTGCTGCTCGCAGCGCGCTGCTCCGCCGGGAGTGGGACTGGGAGGAATGGGTACGTGGGATGGGGAGATGCGGGGATGGGGGAATGGAAGGATGCGGGGATGGCGGCTGCGGGGATGGAGGATGCGGGGATGAGGGTGCGGGTCTGCAGCCGCGTCTCTCCTGTGCCCCCCCCTAATTCCTATTTAACCCAAGCAAGATCGCGAAGCCAAACCTTACCCAAAGGTTAGCGGGTCTCGGGGGAGCGTTTGAGTCGCAAATCTCAGATGGAGCTAAAAGCAGCACAGCAACGAGCTGCAGCCCATGCTCTGCGGCTGCCGAGCGCTCCCTCTGCCTGGCGCTGGGGGCTTCGGGCGTCGTTCCCCTCGCAGAAGGGAGGGGTGTGGGGTCCCGGCACCGCTCGAGGAGCAGCCCCGGGGGAGCAGCCCGCCCGGACCCCCCGGCTGCAGGTGCAGATGGAGGAGAGACGCTGCCTTATCTGCACAGAACAGGCTCAGGGGTTGGGGCTGGGATTTCTGATTAACAAAGTGAAGGGAAAAGAGCTCCTCGTGCTTAAAAATCGTTTGAGGGAGGCAGGAAAGGCTGAGCTTAAGCAGGCTGTGCTTCTGCAGCCCTCGCTGCCAGCCCCTCTCCGAGCTGGGGGGCACCATGGCAGCGCAATTACCCGGGCCAGGAGGGGTTGCTCCCCGGGCCAGGCCCCCGCACCTCAAAGCATTTCATTCCTATGGCTTTCAGTGAGCTGCGCTCTTCCTCAAACACAGCACATGCAAACCACGTCTGAAAATGAAATACAGCCATAAGAAAGAAAGGGATCGAAAGCAACCCCTGCATGCTCAGCCTCGCCCCGCAGCCCACACAGGTCCTGGGTGCAGCGCCCCGATCCCCGCACACATCCTTTCCTCGTGGCACAAAACTCCATAGAAACCCCCAAGAGCAGCTGCTGGGCGTCTCAGCCCTGCAAGGAGAAGGCCAGGGGGAGGAACTTCACCCTACCAAAGCCCTCCTCGGCCGCATCCCCTCCCAGACCCACCCGTGTGTGCTTAGCAAAGCAATGGCCGCAGCCCGACGCGCTCCCCTCGCCCGCAGCCGTCGCCCCCAGCTCCGCTCACTCCTCGCCCCGTCCTCCCGCAGCGCTGACAGCATAATGAAGAGCGGCACGGTGCGACTATAAAAAGGCAATTAGACAAACTGCTGGATAGGGACCAGCTCTCGTGACCTACTTAATAGCTCGGGGACTTTCGGGAGGATAGGGAAGGAAAAGCAGCGGTGGCTGTGAGGTGGTGGGGAGGGAGAGAGGATGCTTCAGCACAGCGCCCTGATCCTCCAAGCAGCCCTGTGGCACCGAGAGAACAGCTCTGCCCCACGTTGCTCCCTCCTGACCCGGCCATCAGCACTCATTCCCACGATGGGTGCCTCCTCCTCATTTAATCGTTGGTTTGTGTTTTTTCTTTAACTGAATGCAAAATGGCTGCCTAAATTGGAGAGATGTCAAACAAAGAGATGAGGGGCCGGGATACGGGCATCACCAGTGAGCACGGCTTGGGACTGTGCCCAGGGGAGAATTCACCTGAACAATCCATGAAAACAAAATAAAGGCTCCTTTAGACTTTACTCAGCAAGACTCCAAGCTCACTATTTACAAAATAAATACAGATCAGCTTCTGATCTGTACTGTGGGAGGTGGCTGTGCAGGGATTTCTGTGATTTGCACGTCCCAGCCCAGCCCCGATCAGCAGTCACATCTACAGACCAAACACTTGCTATCATCTGACCACAACACCTCCTCAACAATGCATCCGATTAATTGGAATTAAATCTAGCCCAGGGTTTGCCTTTATTGCTGTCATGAAAATGAAGTGAAAGTCCTTGGTTACCTGCAGCGTCGAATTCCCACAAATTGTATTGTTCCCATGAGCTTAACTGCATTTCCATTGACAAAATAGGTAAACTTCATCACTGTCAAATTCAATACGTGTGTGTGAGCTGAAGGGTTTCGTAGGAACCGACTAGGAACCAGGAGAAGCATCCCTCATGCTTGCCAAGATTTTCATTTCAATTTTCATGCACAAAGCACTTCTCCTCTATAGCTGTAGAGTCAGAGCTGCTTTCCAGAAGAAATGAACACTCTCCCTGCTCCCAGATCAGCTGTTTTCCCCCGGCATGAAGTTAAGCTCTCTTGGGGATTTTATTTCCTGGTCATTTTACACAAATCAGGGCTCAGTCACGTGCTCAGTGTGTGCTTTATTTCCTTTATTTTTTTAATTCATATTATTTTAGACCTGTGCAGCTGAGCAGAGCACGGCTCTAGCAGCCTTTTGCCTTTGGGGCTCAATGT